GCCAAGATTGAAAGGTAAGAAGAACATCTGTGGATGTTGTGCATTTTCCCGCCACATCAAATTAAGTAGAGTTACGTCATAGTTTTAAGATTTAGTTAACTTTATATTTTAACATCTTACCTGGACTATCAAAAGACAAAAGCTATTTGCTTTATTATGATAAAGTAATACATCAACACTACTGTGTGGCAATTGGTCACAATGTGTCAGTAATGTCTTCAACTTGTATGCTTGCCTTTATCAAAATCATTTCATTGAGGTAAACCATAGAAGTAGGCATATCAATCCAAATATTGATACCAATGTAGTGCGATAGGATCGATTCAACTCACCTCAACTCTATTCTCATCTGACTGCCACCTCATGGGGTTGGCACAGCAATGTGGCCCAAAGTCCTGTGACAGCATTTCCATGGGACACAAACACAACACAACAATGGAGGACGTCAAGGTGATGGTGTAACCTCTGCTCGGTGTATCGGTGTATAGCTTTTTTCAGACTCGGGGACCATGGTGTCGTTTTATGTGCGGCCATTTCCCTCATTGCTGAGTTAAAAATGAGCAGTTTTGATTTTTGTGAAGTCGTCAAGTGATGCCACTGACTGGCCAATTGGTAGCATGCAGTCTGTTGACGTCACATTTTGGATCGACTCAGCTCACTGAATTGTTTTGACTGTCACGTCTTTTATTTCAAGCCTCTAGCACTTTAAACATCTTTAGCGACGGGCGCATTTAAAAGGCGTGTTTTGTTGTGCTACCTAATTATTTTGGAAAATAAATTCCACAGTGAGGTCATTACAATGTGTTCAAATTTTGCATCATTTTAATTCATCTCATAAATCATGACACACTCCTCTGCCCTAAATAAGCCGTCTTTATAGATTAACAGCATCAGTGTCTGTATTGGTATCAGCAATACTGGCCCTGTATTTATTTGGTATTGGATTGATACCAAAATTTCCAGTATGCAGCTGTTGTCACCTATACTCTTCGTGCAGTGATCTTCGTGAGTTCCTAAATGGAATAAAACCACAAGATATGACATATGAGATATGATTTCAAAAGTATAGACACTGACAACAGTGAGAGGCACACACCATGTAAGGTCACCTTTGGCGTCCGGGTTGTGACTCATTCATCAGCGGAGGAAAGGTTAGGCTGGATGTTTCTGTGAAAGTGCACGTCACGCGTGATCATTCGTTACTCCAGGCTGAACAGTGTGCATCCAATCATGTATTTAGTCAACATGTCACATCTCATCTCCGCGCAAGTGTGTCTCAGCTGTGTCTCGCCCGTGTGGGGTTTGCGTGAGAACACAGTGAGCGTTGAGTCAGTATTGTATATCCACGTCTGCGCTCTTGCCACATGAGCGCAGAATGTGCATACGAGAGCGTATCCGTTATTACCCCTCAGAAAATCTCCGGTCTCTGTGTCAGCTGATCTCAAGGAGCACCTAATGCTTCAGTGTGTCACATCAGACAGCAGCAAATCTCAGATGACAGAAAGGCACAGATGAAGTAAGTCCGTGAAACGTTAGGCAGAAGCTCCCCTGGAGGAGACTGTTACTCATATACATGCATCTCCAACCAAAGACTTATCAAACGTGGCACGTCTGCTACAGCTTTTTGAAGGGCTTCTCCTGCCCTACACACCGGGCTTAATCACAAGCACATGGTAATGGGACGTCTGTGACGGTAGGCTTATTGAGAGTAAGGCATGGCCGAATTGATTTCAAGTATCTGCCAAACGTTTTATCGGCCTCTTGCTAAGCACCCCGCTAAACGGTCATGTCAGAATGCCATTATAGTCCGAGCACAAAGAAGACATAACTGCTCCTTAAATCACAACTATAAATGTGTTTATTTTTGTCAACAACTGAAAAGAAGGGATACATTAAATAATAGATGTGCAACTTAAAGACTGGAAAGGAAATAAGGGATGAGAGTATCTATGGCAGAAATTGTAAATCCGCATTTAATGCCTCAGTCTCAAATGGTATCCACAGAACATCAAAGACCCCCCCCCACCCCCAACCTCCATCTCAAAAAAAAAATCTAAGAAAGAAAAGCACACAGAGGATTACTCTCCTCCAATCGCATACATTCACTCTGACGGGATCTCGCCACTCCTCACTAACAGACCCCCCCTCCCACGCTGAGAATGAGAAGCATTACATGGTGAAAGCAAAAGAACAGGGGCGGAGGGAGCGGAGGAGTGGGAGCAGCGGGGAAGAAAATAAAGCTAGAAGTGTGAGTCGGTCAATACTGAGATGTAACCTGACACGGAGACAGGCAAATCAGGTAATGGGAAGATGGAGAGAGAGGGTTAGAGTGTTTGCCCTTTAAAGGACAAGGGAGCACTTAGGGTCTCTGAGGACAGGCACTTAAATAAGTCTTTCACACACACACAGTTGGCTGAAATTAGATGATGTCTTACATCATCCAAAACATTTACACTTTGCTGTTATTTTCTGCTAATACAACATACAGTAATAGAGTTTTAACTCACTGGGTGTTATTATTGTTTAAGAATGTGATCATACTGCATTTACCCTCTGGCTGCTCATATTGCAGTGTGATCAATATTAATCGAGTACAGCAAGTAGGAGTCAGGTAGAGCTGATTAGATTATGATCTCAATACTTTATGCTGCACTTAGGGCTTGGATTAGCACGCATTTTGTCCAGCTCAGATATCCAGATACTTTAGAATAGGGGTGTCAAACACAAGGCCTGGGGGCCAGAATCGGCCCAGCAAAAGCTTTGTTTTAAGGCTTTGGAAAATATGAAGGAGGGCAAAACTTGGACATTTTATAGGTTTCATACTGACAAAGCCCTCCCCCACAGCCATTCATATACTGCAAGTTAATTAAGGAATAGATAAACAATTAAATGACAGAAAAGTTCCTGTTTTGCCCATGGAAAAATTAACAAAAGCTTTATATTTTATATTTATGGGACAGTCAAGGCATTCAGCCATAGTGATGGATTTCTTCCATTTACTGCAGCAGCATTTTTTTAACCATGTAGAAAAACTGAACTAGAATGTTGATGCAAAGCCATCTTTTTTCGAGTTGGGTTAAAAAAGGGCAACAGTCAAACTACACAATATAGCTCAGAAGGAGGTGGCAACCTCCTAAGCTGAGAAGTGGCTCAAATGGCCACTTGAGGCTATCTCCAGAAGCAAGTGAACCCACCTTTAAACCTCTTTGGTGTCAAATGTCTAATTTGACCCATATTTGCAAGGGGTGTCTTTTTTTTTTTTTTTTACAATTTCCTCACCTCTTTAATTGTGTGACTGTATAATTATATTACACCGTGACTCAATGCACTCAACCGGACCTCTTATTATCCATCTTTACCACTAGTCAGCAATCACGGGCTGCTAGCTGAACCTTTTGTTATCTCACCGGGGAAATTCTGTGTCACTGGGATTGCAAAGGTAGTATTACTCTCCTCACATCATCTCCTGAGGCCGGGAGAAGGGGCTCATCAACCTGCTCAAAGTACTTCAGTGAAGTGGAGACTTTAGCTCAAAAGGTCTGAATTAAAGTCCATTGCATGCCATGCGCTTGCACACAGTGTTTGTGTTTTGAGGTCATTTTAGAACACTTCCCATGAAATATCTGATGAATAAAGTGACTTTGTTCTTTGATTGCTTACACCACTGACAGTCAAAGAGGTCCGTGCTCCAGCTTTGGTATGTGAAGTTGTGTTTTAATTAGCAGGTGTTTACATGTGTGTGATACACCCATACCCAAACACCTTTATAACTAAGCTTGCTTAAAAAAAATAAAATACTGAAATGGCCAAAATGCTAAAACAGAGGGATTTGACAACCTGATGAGGGACTATGCCCATCTTTCATATATAGTCTATAAGAACGACCAAAAACATAACCCTCGGGCTGGGGCTTTATAAATCTACAGCTACTTAAAAAATGACTTGAGGAAATAGCATCACAACAGAAATGCCCGAATGAGCTCGAGATTAAACAGAACTATGTGTACAAATGCACATAAGACTGCTAACGCCAGCTTTGGAGTGTTTCACGGGTTATGTGGTAGCTCTCATGACCAGATAGCTTCTTGAATTTATTGGTATTTATAGCGTGTAAAGAAATTCTGCCAGGAGAGGCACAGAGCAGACACCTGTAGACCAAAATAAAAGCCTACATATACAACAGCAGACTGAGAATATCCCATCCATGACAGACCTCGGATGAAAGCAAAGTGCCTGGGAAAAGAGGATTGCAGCCCTGCATTTGCAGATAATCTTTGGGACGAGGCAGGGCAAAGAGAAAACTAGGAATTCTGTTTAACAAAATGGAAAGGGGGGGTATAAGCGTCACGCTTATCTCTGAAAGGCTCTCGCTACCCAACCAGGTCAGATGAATAAAGAGGTTTTAACCCAATTTCTCACGTCCAACGTGGTTGGCTTTGACTACGCGTGACCACCGTAAGCAAAAGACAGTGTGAGGAAAAGTAAATAATCCTGTTTGTTTGTTTGTTTGTTTGTTTGTTTGTTTGTTTGTTTGTTTTACTTAAAAAAAACTAGCTGGAGCCATAACAATGTGGTTTTGGTTCGTGGTTTCACATCAAAAGATTTCTTCAAACGCACATTTTCACTCCACGCTCTGTGGGGTGTTTTTCTTTTCTAAAAAGCACTTTAGCCATGCAGGACAAAAACAGGGAGCACGTTTAGATGAGCATTTCTCACTGGAGAGTCTAACGAGTGCATTTAATAACGGAACACAAACACGATAAAAGGGACGGCACTTTCATTGGCTTTATAGAGGCACAAGCAAATGAGTTCGTACTGTGGAGAGCAGCAGCCTATTAGCCCTTGAGCTAATTTACTTCTATCCTGAGTGATGACTCATCACATGGATGGTGATGGTAGATCAAACAGAAAAACAATCCCCCAGCAGAAGTTTATGATAATGCTGGACTGCCCCCTGCTGGACGTCGTGAATCATTTCTTACATAATGGAGGTTACTGCAGTTCACCTTTATATTACTTGCAGACCTGGGTGAAATTTTTGGTATTTCTATTAAAACTGCTGTGCTCAAAAAAAAGTGACACAGTCTGATTTAATGTGAAGTGTACGGACTTACTGTGCTTATTTATATGACTTATAACGTCCACCTACGCATCTCTCCCAGCCCCATAAGCTTCATCTCAAGTACATAATCGCCTTTTAAAAAGCTGTGAGACCTCATAAAATTAATCACCGTCCAAAGAAAATAGAGGAAAACATCTTAAGCCAATCACATGCAAGTCAAGCCACGTAAAACAAGCGTTTTTGTGGCCTATTAGAGGTAGTGTCACCCATCTTGCTGACCTCCATTAGCTGCCGCTGTCTGATGCGACGCAACATTCTTCCTTAATGCAGTCAACCACAACTGGCATTGAAGAACTGTATACAGAAGCAAGCACAACATTATGCAAACACCAACACTACGCATCAATCACATGCTGCCAGCAGAACCTTCTGATACTCAGTGTCATCTCTCTGGGGTGATTCTGTGTCACTCTGATTGCAGGGGTATCATTATTTTCCTCCGGGGCTCAGGGCACAGGGTCAACAACAGATCATCGCTCCAGAGGCCAGGGGCTCATTGACCTGCTCCGAGTGCTTCGGTGGAGTGCAGGCTTTCAGCTCGGGAGGTCTGAGCTCAAATCCATCGCAGCTGATCATTTTAATTTTCTCCTAATGGCATTTGCAGCATCGCTCGGAATTTAATGTAAGCTTAATTCTACAGTAAGAGTGTTATTAGTCATGAAATTCATGAGTGTCAAAGTAGCGCACGATTCCTGCTCTGCAAGATGACTCAACAATGCAGCAAACTGAGGGGAGAATTTAACATTTAAAAGCTAAAACACACCAAAGACTAAAGGTAAAAACGGCCACTTCATTAGGTACACCTGTTCAACTCCTCGTTAACACAAACCTGTAATGAGCCAATCGCATCGCAGTGCATATAGGCGTGGTCAAGAGGACCAGCTGAAGTTAAAGTGAGCATTAGCATGAGGGGAAAAGGTGATATAAGTGGCTTTGATTGTAACGTGGTTGTTGGTGACTGGCTGGTTTGAGTGTCTCAGAAAGTGTCGATGTACTGGGGTTTTACCACACAACTGTCTGTAGTGTTTACAGAGAATAGTCTGAAAAAGAGGAAATATCCAGTGAGCAACAACTCTGTAGGCCAAAACCCCCCCAAAAAAACCCTGTTGATGACAGATGTTAGAGGAGAATGCTTTGAGCACCCTGATAGGAAGAAAACAGCAAGTCAAATAACATCCTGTTACAACCAAAGTACGAACAATAGCATCTCTGAACGCACAACAGATGGGCTACAGCAGCAAATCGCCACACCGAGTGAAAAAAAAGGTGCCTGTCCAGGTTTAGAACTCGGCATGAACATGAAGGCTGGTGATTAGCTGTGTAATGGTGTGGGGGGGGGGGTATTATATTGGCAGACTTTGGGCCTCTTAGAACACCATAACCTACCACAGTATTGTTGCTTAACATGTCCATCCTTTTATGTCAACTGTGTGTCCGTCTTCTGATGGCTGCTTCCATCTGGATAACACACAGTTCAAACTATGTGAACATAAAAATGAGTTCACTGCACTCAAACAGCCTCCACAGTCACTAGATTTCAATCCACTCACCACTAATAGGAGATTCAATCATAAACACAACTTGGATGTAAATATGGACCAAAATGTTTCTTTGATGTTGATGTTTGAAGTCCAACCCAGTACCAGTAATAAGCTATTTAACCCATTCTTTGGTGAGGGGGGCACATGTTACCTGAAGTAACATAGCAGCTTTTATTTTGAAAGAGAGATTAGCCACAGCAAATAATTGTTTCAGTTCTTGATTCCTGGTCACATGATATTCGGATTTGTGTTTTGAAAGTGGAAATTCCTTCAGCAACAACAAAAATAAGACGTTCACATCTTGAGACCTGTTGGGTCAATAATCACGTTCACTATTCACAACCAAAAGAGGAAAAAGCTTTAATGGAAAGCTGGGAAGACATTTTTTTTGATTTGAAGTAAAACAAATGCAAATGATAAGAACTAAACAGTGACGATGAAAATAAAATGAACTTTAAGAGCGAACAGATTGTCTCGCGTTGAAACTTAAAGCTGCCTTTGCCCACAAAAGTAAACAGATGTCCAGAAAGAGTTGAGCAGTGGGTGAGGGGGAAGTTTTTGTCACTGTTTGAGTTAGACGGGACCTGAGAGCGCCACAAATGTCTTAGTGCTTGGCTCTGATTTCCTCCTCATGATGTCTTCTATGGTCGAAATGGGCAACGGTTCACTTTTGTCCCTCCGAGGAGCGTGAAGAAAATCCACCACCGTGCAGCTGGGCTTAGGACGCCTGCGTCGCCATGCCCGTTTCTCTGCCCGGCTCTTGGGTGGAGGGAGGCCGTCACAGATTCGAGAGCAGGCTGTGGTGAGGCCACAGAAAGAGGGGTCGTCTGAATGAGAAGATCCCTCCGAGCTCCCTTCTGACGGTGAGTCTCTAAAGGTAGGGTGAAGTAAATTTTTTGTAAGGGGGATGGGGTTTGTGGTGACAGGCGCTCCGTTGCATACTCCATTGGTCAGCTCAGGAGAAGACTGTAAGGAGGGTTTCAGAGTCTCCACCTTTTCTAGGGGTTTCATCTTACGGCGTCTCCTCTGTATAAGAAAAGAATGGGACGAGGCAGAAACATGAGATGCATTTTAATCACGATACCCTGGTAAAAGGGTTAACACCTTCCTGATATTACACTGTGACAATACAACACCAGTGCATTGTGCTAAACCCCAACGTTCAGTTTACTAGTGGCAAATTTATAATGGTTCACAGCTTACTGAACTCAGTAAAAACTCCCCACTGGTGGGGTTTCCATGCTGCGCACTACTCAATATTGCATCTCCTTGCAAGTTCTTTCTTTTGACAGTTTTGAAACTCAACACACATCGTGATATACTGACCAAGCCCCCCCTTCCCCCACAAACCACGCTACTAAAAGCATTACACACCTTTCTGTTTGCTGGATAAAGACTCTCTGTTCCCTCTGCATGCATGCATTCTGGGCCTGTTACAGAAAAAAAGGTTAATTTCTACAAACTGATTAGCGATTTTTAGCTAAATAAAAAGCAGATTCTTAAAACTTTCTGTGTTATGTGGTGCAACTTTACCTTCAGTGGTGGCTAACTGGAATGAGTCAGAGTTTATGAGTGGATAGGACGCACTCCTCTTCAAACCCAGTTCATCACAGCAGGAGAACTGTCTGCTAAGGATAACATTCAGTGTATTAATGGTTAGTGGAGAAGACAGCACACACCACCTTTATCAAGATATCTTGATGAACAACTCAAATTGTCCTAATGAGTAAAAATCACTCATTGCACTGCAACTTCTCCTCACAACTCCTAACTCCTAAGAGCCCATTTGAAGTGCTCTCTTTCTACTTATGGCTTCAGGTGGCAGAAGTTGTGTTTGTACCTTTCAGGACAGCAGTAGGTGTAGCTCTTAGGCGAGGGTGGCTCTGGTTCTGTGGTTGGAGGTACAGTGGAGAGGCGACAGTGGTTGGCACACAGTAGAAGGCCGAGAGACAGACATAAGAAGAGAGACAGCAGCAGGTAATTCTGCCTGTCTGATACCTGGAACGCAGGAAAGTGATTCTAAGTAACATGTGATATGTTGATGATGAGGACAGAAAGTACTCTGACAAAAAGTGTTATAAATACACTGTGAGGGGTTTTTATAAAGTTGGTTAAATATTAGCAGCTTCTCCTCATGCAAAAGCACCTAATGAGCAAGAGCACCAGCGCACCCTAATGACTGAGTGAGAAGACTCAATTTACTCCATTTGGGAAAAGGCAGGAAAAAAAACAGGACTGCAGATGACAGCTTTGTGCCCGGAGTGTTGCACACACCTCATTCTGCAGTTGGCTGACTCTGACAGACAAGTTGAGAACCAGCTGAGTCACGTTCTCCAGTTGACCCTGCAGAAACTGGATGGATTCAGTCTGACGTTGGTCCTATGGGCGTAAAAAGGCAACACATTAGCAACCAACCGCACAGGTTCACGTCACTGAAATGATATGCAAAGGTATGATGAGTAAGTATTTTGGGGTATAATAAGTGCTTGCTCTGTTCACTTGCAAACAAACACAGAGGCATTTCCCTTTGAAATTTCTCTTCCAAACACAATTTTGTGTTGTTGACTTTTCATTGCAACACTTGAAACAAAAGTGCAAAATGGGACTAACTTGAAATTATTTTTGCTACTCTCTCTTTTTTTAAGTGTGTTTAAAATATGGTCAAATCTGACATCGTTATTTGCTGCTGATATCCAGTCTATTATTTATGTCTTCTGTAGTGGACCAAAACAAATCTACTGTGGTCATAAGCTAAAACAATGAGCTACATGAAACTGAAACGTGACTATTTTACTGACTGCACCACAAAAATATGGAGCAACATTAGCATTCATGTGCAGTTGAGCTCCTGCCCACCTGACAACTCTCCAATAGGTCTGTTCGCCCTCTTTCTAACTTAGAGTAAACGGTGCGTTAATGGACCATAAAAACAAAACAATGACTTGAACTCCACGTTGAGTTGCGAAGAATTGCAAAGCCAGTTAAGGGTAGGTGTTTGAGCCATCGCTAATAGAAAATATTGATTAATGCAATTTGGATCCCAAAGAGCTTTGAGGAAAAACACATCTGACCCTTGGAGGCAGCTGCTACATCATGTGGCTGTTCTACAGTCAAAACAAACAGCAAGAAAAGATTTTGGAAAGAAGCAGCCATCTCGAAGTCAGACAAAGAGCTCTGCATGAAAACTGTGTTATTGTTTACCTGCTCCTCTGCAATTCTGGAAGTGTTCTGCAGTTTAATGATGGTTTTGTTGAAAGCCTTTTGCATCTCTTCCATCTGCTTTCGATACCTTAAGAAGAAGAAGACGAAGAAGAAGATTTTTTTTTAAAAAGGATCACTGTAACCTCAGCTCATTAACAAAAGCAACCTTTGTATTTTTGTTTTCCTCACTCCTCACGTCCTTCCACCATCCTCACCTCTGGCTAAGCTGCTCCAGGTAGCGTCCGCTCAGTGACATGTTCATCTCCAGGGCCTTAATGCGGTTGTTGAGTCTCATGAAGACCGACTCTTTCTGGCTCGAGCTGTGCACCGGGTTCCCGTTCTGCTCTGTGCCATTAGGGGGCTCTGCATAGATGTCCGAGAGGGACGGTGAGGTGGGTGAAGAAGGAGTTGGGGAGGATGGGCGAGGCAGCTGACCGTTGCCACTTGAAGATGCTGAGATGTCGTCTGCAAAATCCTCCATTTTAGCATCCGCGATGGCTGCGTGACCGCCAGAAGGCTCAGGTTCTGCAGCAGGTTCTGGAGCAGGGGGGGATACTTCAGAAGAAGCAGTGCTGCTTTCGGGTACAACAGCTGAGTCAGGCTGCTGCTCTAAATGAGGGGAGCCTGTGGGTGCAGGGACTGGAGATGGATCTGTTTTGTCTTGGGTTTGAATGAGGACATTTGTTTCTACTTGAGTGACATCAATCTCCAGCTTCTCCTCTGGGGGTGCCACCGATATGTCGTCTGCTGTGGCACTGGTGCTTGGTTTTACAGGGACAGAGCTACTGAGAGAAGCCGAAGGCTCGATGTGCTCTTCTTCCTCCAGCACATCCTGGCTGTTCTCTGGCCCTGGCTCCTTTGCCGGTTCCAAGGTGGACAGCTGTGGCGTTTCCACAATATGGGTAGGTTTGGCTGCAGATGAATCAGCATCGCTGGGTTTGGGGAGCGTCATGGTTTGACTGGGCTCCAGCAGAGGCGATCCAGATGCAGATTCTTCTGTGTTCCCAGCAGGCTGCGATACCTCCGATTCTACAGCTTCACTCTCTGGCTCCTGCTCAGAAGCTTGTTCTTTGTCTTGGAGCTGATGCAGCTCACTCGGGTGCTGCTGAGGTTCGGGGTGGGCAGATGAGTGCGTAGGTGGGTGCCAAGATGGTGTTTGGGTAGAAGGAATTATTTGCTGTCTTTCTGCTGTTTGGCATTCCCTGTGTTTGGATAGTGAGGCAGAACACTGCTGCTGGAAATACTCCAGAAGAGAAGCTGCACAGGAGCATGGAGAAGAAAGTGAAGGAACTGGAGGGCAGTACTTTAAGCTTTCCTGTTGTCTCTCATGATGATCCTTTTTCTCTTCTTCCAAGTCATCCTCCTTATCCAGAAGGATGATTGTAGAGCTGATAGGTTCTTCCTCATCCTTGTCTAAAGGAAGAACTATTTTTTCCTCCATGGGTGGGAGCTCTTGTTTGACACCTTCAGATGTGGTTGACGTCTCTAGGGCAGAGTTTTCCACAGTTTCAGGGATATCAGTGTCTTGTGAAATCTGCACGTCTTCAGAGTCTGGACTGGAGAAACGATGTTGTAAATATTAAATGCAGAGAAGAGCAAAAACTGTAAAAAGACTTATAGCCTTAACCAGTGTCGTCTACACACGTACAGAAATTAAAACCGCAGCTTATCCTTTATGTATTTTAGTGAAACACAGCAGTGCTCCATGACCTGCGGCATTATTCATCACTTTTCAATTCTGAGAATAAAAATATAATTTGGTTTGCTGAAATTTCTAAAATGCTTTTTTCCAGCTCTGAAAACAATACCAGCATTTGTTGAAAGTTTGCCTGTGGTCAGTTTAAAACCATCTCTCACTTTTACACATCGAAAACGCCACGCCATAGGTCACAGGAAGCACTATTGCATTTGTGTGAAGAGGCTCAGAGGGACGTGCAAAATCTACTAACTATTAAAAAATGAAAAACACTATAGATAACACAGGTAATCAATGGGAGTAAAATAGTGAACCTGTGGTACATCTGACAGGTACTCACACTGAAGTAGTAGTAATAGTAGTTTCAGTGGTGGATTCAAGGGGCTGCGATGGCTCAGTTATGTTCACTTCTTGGGTTGAAAGGCTGCCTGAAAAAAAGAAAATCAGAAAAATTTAAATCAACAACAAATGTTTCAAAAGTACAGTTTAGTCAACTTCAACATTTTTGATTAAAGGAAAAAACGAAACAAAAATAAGCTTGTCAATCCTGAACGTTGTATAAGACTGAAAAGACAAATAACTTTACAAAAAAAGTGTCAAAAAAAGTGTGTGAAACAGAAATTAAAAACAAATGATTTAAAAGCTGTATTTATATAAAACTAGAACAACGTGTAGCATAAAATGCTGAAATTCAAATATCTTTCTCTTGAATGTTATATATTTGTATTACAGTTGATGAATGTACTTTTTATTTTCTATCAGTAACACATTGTAGTCAAGCTGTGTTTACCGCTGTGTTTTTGTAGTTTTAGAATCCAAATATTATTTTCCTTGTTGATTAACATGAGATTTTAACTGGTTTGGTTTCGTCTGGTTGAGTTAATCAAGGCCTCTCCTTATGTCGTGTACACTAACACATCCCCTAACATCAAGGAATCAGGTTGGATTGCAGGTTAAATGACTTACAAATTTCCAAAGGCTTAGTATATGTTTTTATATTTGCATGGTAGGGTTTCAAATTAAACCCACAGATTGTTTTAATTTTACATTTACACCGGACCCTGACTTTTTGGGAAATTTGGATAGCTTTTATTATGCTTACTCTAGACAAGGTAAAATAAGAAAACAGTAGAGTGTTATATGCATATATGGCGTGTTGTCCGTACCATTCATCTCTGTGCCTCCTCCAAGAACGTTGACAGCAATATTGTTCACCATGTTTAAAATAGCATCTGAAGAGCAAATGATAACATCAGTCACAAGTTCACACAAACACAATCTGAGCTTGAGAACAAATGTACTCATCTTCATGCTGTAGGAGTTTAAAATCAGACTTGCCTTTTGCTGATCCAATTAGATCAGCCTCACCAGGTGCCGATCCAGAGGGATAATCTGTAGGGAGTGTTATTAAACGCTTTCATATATATGTAAGAAATTAAAATCACCAACCAATATGAATGTAAAGTAAACTACTATGACATTAGCTTAGTTTTACACAAAACAAAACTTAAAAAAAAAATTCAAAAGGGATGATTTCAATACTAATTTATTATTCTCAAACTGTACTGACAGCTGCACTTACACCAAGTTTAACAAGTCTATTTTTTTTATTTTCTTTTAACAGCAGTTTACAGTAATTTTAGCTACAACATCCTCTGTTCTTACCCAAGTCGTCGTCCTGATCATCTGGCCTTTCTGAGGGATCAACTATCTCCTCATATTCTTCCACCATGCTTGTACCAAACACCCTGTCATAAAAATAAGGATCCAAATCTATAACCACAGTCACACTGAAAGTAATTTACAGTTGTGGTCAGAAGTTTCAAACTGTCACACTCAAATAAGAGGAAAATGTTAAGAAACAACCCAGGAAACCTCACTGCTCATAGTTAATGAAATAATGAAGGAGGAAGACCAATTCCAAATTCTTCATCTTCACTTCAAATCAACAGCTAAACAGTTACAACTTGGACACAACTGAAAGAAATAATAATGGATTGGATTCATATAGCGCTTTTCAAGGCACCCAAAGCGCTTTACAATACCACTATTCATTCACTCTCACATTCACACACTGGTGGAGGCAGCTACGGTTGTAGCCACAGCTGCCCTGGGGCAGACTGACAGAAGCGAGGCTGCCATATCGCGCCATCGGCCCCTCTGAGAGCCCGGGGATCGAACCGACGACCTTCCGGTTACAGATACGCTAATAATCTCAAACACACATCAAACCTGGTCTAGGACTGGATAAATGCATAAACATTAAGCTCCAACCTTGTAGAAAATATGTGGACTATGCTTCAAAGCCAGGTCCATGTCAGGAAACCAACTATTTTAAATGAACTCTACCAAGAAAAGTAGTTAAATCAAGACAGAAGCTTGTTGATGAATACCAAAATCATCTAGTCGAGGTGCAACTTGATAACGAACATTTAACAAAGACTAATGGGGGGGATGTGTACATATTTGAGCCTGTATGCACACTTATATATTCAAACTTGTACAACCAATTCTTGTTTGCTCCAAGTCACCAAATAGTTTTCACTTCCTCAAAAACTATTAGTCAGCAGTTTCTGAAACTGTGATTTAAATGCATCTTTAAACTCTGCAGAAGCAGGAAACAACTGCCAACAGGTTAGTTCCACTTTTTCTAACCAAAACCTTGATGTAGTACCAAAAATCAGACGCTATCTTAGCTTATGCTGTGTTATGGCTTCTTGTGCAATATACAGATTGTGACTTATTTAAATAGATTTGATTTGCTTCACACTGCATGCTGTGCGTTAGGAGCACTATCACGTACCTTATGAGACTAAGTGGGCAGAAATGTTCAGAGCCAAAGTGAGAGACCAGCTCTACCTACAACAAAAAATGTAAAAAAAATGCAAAACTCATTCAGATTATTTCATATCTTGTGTTGCAGGTTTATAAAATCATCAGCAGAGTTATTAATTAACAGCAAAGCATTGATTTTGTTATAAAGTCAATTAGTGTAATGAAAAAAAATGATGGGTTGACAAACTGTGTAACCAGGAAATCAGAGAAATTTGAGAAACATAATAATGAGTATTATTCCGAGGATTATCAAATGTTCACATGTCTGAAATAAACACTTTGGAAAAGCAGCCAATGGACGTTACAATGGTTTGCAGGCAGCACAGCAAGTTAGATCTGATTCTGTTTCATTCGGATCACAGCAGTTAGACACAAAACACACTGCCCTCCACGTTTACTGTTCAGTTCACCCAACGACAGAGCACTACAAGAAGGACAAGCTAACCTTTATGTACTTGGTGAACATCTGAAGCAAGAGAAAAGGGAAAAAGAGAAATATTAAAAGAGATGTCAGCATGCATTAAAACGAGACTAGAGAGAGTATGCTGGCTTCACCTGAGTCACTCAGGCAAATGGCAACAGCATCTCTAACACTTTTCAAAATGGCAAAGCCACATTACATGCATTTAAGACACGAAGCTGACAAATCTACCAAGAATACAAAGAGAAATATCAGCAACACCAGGAACAAAGAAAAAAAACACTCCTACAGTACAGTCGGGTAATAGTCAGCTGCAGATCGAAACAACTGTTCGTAATGTAATTACACTGAAAGATTACGGCAATTTGTTGCACACATTCAGCAGAGAATAAAGGAGATATAGCGAAATAATTCAAACAAACAACAAAACAAAAAAAGAATATAGTGCTCACCTTTACATATTTTGCATAAAGATGCTCATCCAGTGGGAAGCTCTGAACTGTACGTTCATCCCGGGCGTGAAAGGTTCCCAGCTTTAGCCATTTATTTGTTGGGTACCTGCAAAAGTAGATTCATACAGCACAGTCAGATTAGTCGATGACTGAAGCTGCAGCTTGGTGTCGCTGGAAATGACAGCAAGAAACAAAAAAGATGACAAATAAAAATATAAATAAGTGAAAATGTGATCTTCTTTTAGAAGATATTAAAAAGATGACATGACAGATCCGACAGCATAGCCACTGGGCATACCTATTACTAATGGACACAAGAAAGTCTTTAGGTGTAGACGAGAAGAGTTCAAAGTTGGCGATGACCAACTGCTTCACCTGGATGGGCTCACAGAGCTCAATAATGAACCTGAGCATCAGAGAGAGGGTGGGAAAAAATAGAAAACTGGGTTTAAGAGGAGAGAAAAAGAGAATTGACTCATTTGTGGATAGAAGGAAAGGGATGCAACATACCAGATTTTATTACTGCAGGGGTTTAGCATGTATAAATCCATATTCTCCTTCAATATGGCTGAAGTGCTCTGCATTGAACAAAGAAGTATGAGTTGAATTTGTCACTGTGTCAACATCCAGCAGGAGAGGCAGATTTTATGATTTCATGGTGAATGGAAAACATAAGCATCATTTTATACCTTAGCCTCGGGGTTAGCGCCAAGTATCTTGGCCCCACACTCCACTGAGGCGTAGTTATTAAAGTTCTTCTGGACCTTCTTCACCGTATGAGAACCCACGTTGTCGGAAGTGTGAGTAGACTGAGCTATGGTGAGAAAAAAAAAAATGGGGGGGATATATAGAGATATATATTTTCACACTTTTGCAGTTTATTCTAGTACAGAAATGGTTGCAATTTCAAAATTCATATTCTGATCGTACTTTTTTCATTCTCCACCTCCATCATCTTGCGTTTCCACTCATCAAAAGTGGGGATGTCCTCGGGGTCTTTGGTGCTCACACTTGAATCTGTGTCTGTGGTACCAGGGGAGCTCAAGTCCTGTCACAGATAATGAGAAAATGAGAGCTGGGACAGCTCCTCTGGCGTGAAAGGAAAAATAGTTCACATTGAATCCACGCTCCTTACCGCCTCCTTGAGTGTGTGCGAGACGTTGGATTCCAGGTGCTGCGTACCGTGACCAGCAGGAGAACTCAGAGGAACATCAGTGTGGACTTTAGTACCTGCAGTGTGCACATTGGAAGTGTTCTCCAGAACAATTGGAGGGCTGCTGTAGTAACGAAAAATGCATCGTCGCCATCGTTTAAAGAGAGTCGAGAATGAATTTATTTATTTAACTACATCCAGAGGTTTTTAAAATCTTTCAAAGGGTGAAATGTTAACTGTACCTACCTGTCACTGTCATATGGATTGTTCTCTTCTTCACATTCAGCAGGAGGCAGGTCAGAATCATTGACCTCAGAAGCAGCTACATCTAAGGCATCGCCCGGGACTCTGAAATTAAAGGGAAAAAAAACATTTTAGCAGGAGCATTAAATGAAACAAACATCAGCAGTGAGATTTGACAACAGTAACTTGCCCCTTGGGGATGCTGTCTTGAAGATTAACTTTGCTGGGGCTGTCGTTAGTTTCGGCAGAAAATGCAGCGACAGAGTCGGGGGAAGGCGGCGGGGAGGCATGCTCCTGATCTTGAGTGACAGAGATTTCTATATGCTGACTTTCAGAGCTGTGCTCAGGTTGTGATATTCCTTTGTCTGCCTCCAGCTCTACCTCAGCAGCAGACTCGTCTGCTTCAAAGGCCTGATGGATAAAGACAAAGATGGATAAAGATATTTGCGCTGTTGAGTGCAGTGGTATTGTTTGGCCCATTTACCAGAGCTGGACTGATCAATGAAACACTTAAAGCTCTGAATATCCCTGAACGTTCGTGACCTTGATTGCTTCTCTTGTGGTGAAAGTTTTATGCTGATGGAAACAAGATGTAAAACCCTTTTGAAGTCTTAGCTAAAACATGTTTTGACATTCATTTTTGACATTCTTACATAGCAGACAGTGATTGCAATATTAAATATAAATGAAAGCTGAAGTCATACTATACCATATCATATTCTTTTTGGCCCACTTCTTGTGGCATCTGCTCCTCTTTGACACGATCGTCTTCTGTTGGTGGCTCATTTTCAGGGAAAGGCGGGGCAGGTACGACCAAGCTTTCCTCGACCTAGTCACGACACAATAACATTTCACTGATATTATTACACCCCCAAATTTGAGTGAGCTGCTAAAAAACTTTGCTCAGTCCAAATATTCAGATAATGTTGTTGTTAATCTGCTACAAATCTAGCACAGCAAGGCGTTTCCAGAGCTGTTAAACAAACAAAGGAGTGCATAGTGAAGTGTCTGGTCACAAAAGCTATTCATCACATCGACCTGTACAAGCTCTGAGCCATGAGGTAAGTTCTGGTACAGTATTGCACAACGCTACCTCGTGATGATGGAAGTGTTCCTGAGGCTCTTCTTCCGAGCTGACCTCCTTTGGGGACACGGGGCTCTGGGCCTCTCCTTGCAGCTCTGCGCAACCAACATAGCAACTGTGGTAGCGAAGGGACAGAGTGAAAGACGGTCAGTGCCACAATACCACCGAGTCGGTTTTGAAAAGCAGGGTCACTTCATTTTGTGGAAAACAAAGAGCTCGGATTCTGAGGATGTGAGGAACTTTTAAAACTCTTGCAACAAGCGAACAAAACAACACTTTTATTTCAGGGCAGTGAGTCATGAACGGAGAAACCTGCAGCCCAGTGTCACAGTGTGACGCACCGAGCGTTCACGTGGCCGTACCCCAAGGAATCAGTTTATCTTATCTGCATGCAGAGCCAGGGAATGTTTTCAGAGCCAAAAGACACACCTCAAGCACACTGCACATTACTCAACCTGTCTGTGAGACCTGCTTTTCATGTGTTATTCATATCCTAATATTGTTTTAATTGTGGGATGAAGGATGAAAGTATTTGAGGAATGATGATTACTTCGGATGACTGTGCATATTTCTGAATAACAACCAAATTTTTAAAAAAAGGGTCTTTAAATGTTTATGCTCACTGATGCCCACAAAGCAGGTGAAAGCTATAAAAAGCCTGAAGAGCTTGCAATTTCCTTTGTCTAAAATGTCATTCGAAACAGATGAAACTGGCAAGAGGACTGTGGAAGTCTGCAAGAATCAATTAGGGTACTCACGTCTCTGCAGTTCAAAAATCATTTGTCTCGAGGTGCTGGAATTTTGGATACACTTATATATTAAAATATGCCTTTATTTTGAACCCTACAAGTCCGTTGGGTGACACAATCCCAAAAAGAAAAAGGTCCGGGTCACAGTGACTGCCCCCTTGGCAGAAAAACAACAATAAACAGCAGTAACAAGCCTTAAAATAGCTGCGAAAATGTCAAACTGGTGTCCTCAAAGGCCACGCTCTAACAGTCACTTGGCAACAACCCAGGTCATGACATGGATTTTATTCTGGATTCCAGCTCAGGTATTTTACTTGGCCGGCTGCCTGGCTGGCATCGCTTTTGTGTTGATCTGACGTGAGGCTCGACTAGTCAAAAACACCCATGAACAACAGAGCATTTGTTTTCTAATTGAAAGTCATCTACCACAGTGTGATGCCAAAGGAGCAACAGTGGTGCTGAGCCACAGCCAGCTAAATAATTCATTACCCAATTACAAAGGGTTAAAACACTCACCATCACATTCAAAAAGCTAAGATGTGCTCAGTCTCACCGCAAATGCATTAAACGTTTGTATTACACAGTATGTTATTATTATCTTTGAGAAATGAAATGGGTCGTATAAATGCAGGATTTGCAAAACACAGGATTACGTTTTTAAGTGATAGTAGTGCCAATGCAACACCATGAAAAAAAGACTTAAAGAGCAGCCTTAATATGTGGAAGTGAAGTGCTGACCGCTGCAGCAGATGAAACACGTCTACCACAAGTGCAAAGATCATGTATGTGTGCTCACTCTTGTCAGACTGTCCTTGGGAAACATGTCTGATATGTGACTCTGATAGGAAAAAATGACACATAGTATGATTTCACCTGTATGGTGGTTTATTACTTCAATGAAATAAATTAGTGGTAGAAAAATTAAATCACACACTTTTTTTTAAACAAATGCTGAACCAGCTTTTTAGATATACGGTAATTAAAGTTAGTTAAATACAGTTTTATTTATATAGCACCAAATCACAAAAGCAGTCACCTAAAGGTGCTTTATACTTAGAGTAAAGACCTTCAAAAATACAGAGAAGCCCCCAACAATCAGACGATCCCCTATGTGCAACCACTTGTAGACAGCGGATAAGAAAAACTCCCTTTTAACAGGAAGAAACCTCTGGCAGAACCAGGCTCAGGGAGGAGCAGCCACCTGCTGCGACCAGCCGGCTACACTCCCTAAATGTAAATATGGAGAAAAAGCTACTGAATCCTGGTTAATCAGATGTATGGGTCTCATGTTAAACATCATACCATGACATCAGTGTTTCTCTAACATGGTAAAAGGAGTTTTGTACTCTTCCTGCTGTGGTACTCTACTGGCATCAACAACTTCACAAAATTCCATTGCTTTTTCATGGGGTACAAAGCTGATAAACATTAAAAGGCAAAAGCAGCATCACGTAAAGCTTCTGTCTGAAATAAGAGCTAAACTGATGCTGTTGAAAGAAGGCCATGCCAACATCACCACTATATATCCTAATAAAATATTACATCATGTGCCTCCCTCCCCTTCTGTCTGAAGCACAGCAGGCAGTTTGTTTGATGGTTTGTTGCCATCCTATTAAATCAAGACTAGAACCCACATTCATCCTAAACCCTGTCTCTATGTTCTGTGTCAGAATTACAGAGTCCCAGCAAACTCAGGCTTCCACAGGACAGACATGACTGACGTGCAAGGCCCATAATCCTGTCAGCAACTGATGAACCAAACCTGTGTAACGTCTGATCCGTCACGGCATGGGTTGTCACTGATGTACACGGAGCAGATTAGCGTGTGTGTGTGTGTGTGTATGTAAACCAGGCTGTCTTGGTCAGTGTCTTGTAGAAAGGTAACAGTTAAGCTAGAGCTCAGACAGACTTCGCACAGGTGCCAAACTTAAAGCGACTGGTAACATTCAAATCATATTCTGGCTTCCAGACCGTAACATTTTCATGAAGTGAACAACTTCGCGAGGTCGTTTAAAGCTAACGCTTCCCAAGCCCGCTTTAAAGTTAGCTGGTTAGTAGTCAGCTACTCAAGCTAACTCGTCTGCGAACAAGTCAGAAGTCAGCCAGGTGCCACATCACACCACAATGTTTGCGCAAGCTAGCCAGACAAAGCGATGTAAAGGTTAACCCTGGGGTAATCTTTACTCGGACTGTTTGGCAGTTTGAATATTTTGTGTTTTTCAGCGAAACAACAGTACTGTTTTCAAACGGGACTAATTAAACTAACTCACCAATAGACAACAGCTAGCCACACTGACACAAGTCGCCACAACAGTGGTGTCATCTTCATCCCTCTCCTGCCGGGACAGACATCCTCTCCACGCTCACAGAAACGTTGTATCCTTTTGCTACGCTGTCTTTCACAGCGGTGTATAACATAAACCGATCCGCTGTTTCCTGTTAACAAAGCTGACGTTGGCGGTTTCACTGGTGAAGTGTGATGCTAACTGCTGTAACTCCCCCCACACACACATACACACACAACTTGCTACCGGGTCACCGCGAAACTGTCCAATGAAAACACAGCGACGCCATGGCGCAGTTCAAACTGAGCGTATGTTGGGAGCGCTCGTTTTGTAGCGCCTGGTCGCCCGATTGTATTGTATTGAGCTCCTTGAAGTGAAGTATTTTAAATTTGTCAAGGGAGTGGGATTTTGCCTTTCAAGCGTTATCATTTGCGATAATCAAAACATACCCGCAGTGTTATAGTGTTACGATCATGCGGGGTGTGGACAGCTAATGGAAATTCACACAAGCTCCGTAAAACATGTAAACTTAAACTCTCACTGTATACCCCATTAAATAACTTTATAATAAACCCCAAATTCCACACCGTGAAACTTACATGCGTGCTAAAGATAGTATTTGTTTTTTTGGTGCAATCACATGTAACTTGACCTCAAATATTGCAAATCGGTGCGTTTCTTGCACCAGTTTTACAAAAGTATCAGCCTGTATCTCAACAGGTCAGCGCAATTATCAGGAATGCGAAGAGTCCTGTGTTATTTTTGGCTGTGAGGTTCACTTTGCAATTAGATATCGTGCACTGCAGCAAACAGCAGTGAATGCTGTTTTATATTAAACCCACTAGGGGGAGCCCTCTGCTCAACCCTGCGGGGTTTTCAAATTGTGAAACATAACTATAGGCGTTAAGGAGATCATTTGAAACTCACCTTGGTATAAGCAAATCACGGGGTGATGAGCCCAAGAGCCATCATGTGCCTAAAGTGCTAAATGAAAAGAATCATCTCGTCCATGAATAGAGCTCCAAGCTCACTTGAGCAGCACTTTAGCTTAGTGTGACTACAGGGCATGTGGCCAGTCATAATACAAAGCACACTTGGACTTTGAGAGGACAAAGATACTACATCCTGATTTGGGGATGACTTGAGTGCACATTTGGACTTAGACAAAAATGAGTCCTTGGCTTTAAGAAAAATCTTTTTACAGGACTACATTCATAACTAACGAACGAAATGTGCTAAAAGAAACACTTTTTTCTGGGTCTTTTGGTAAATGGTAAATGGACTGGTTCTTTTAAAGTGCTTTTCTACACTAAATGAGCACTCAATGTGCTTTTGCACTCAATTTCAAATTGTGTGGTCATAATGTAGAGTTTGGCAGTTAATTTCTTACCAATGCATGAAAATCAGAAATCATGTAACATCGCTACATTTTGGAAATTCATGTACTGAACAGTTTTTTGTTTTGTCCCTAGGTGAAATAAACTTTTACTACCAGACCAACCTAGACTTCTGCTGCCACCAAGTGGCTACAAGTAAATCACATTACTTTAACATCAAGAGGTTTTTCTTGTGCAGTGGATATGCAACCCGCATACTAAATACTGTGTTAGTGCCACAAAACGTGACAGATGGTATAGTTTACATATGTCTGTTCTATTAATTTCTGTTAATAACGTTCATTATATATATCTTACACACATCACCATCTCTATGCAGAATTTTAGTACATTTTCTACATTATGGAAGGCTTAATGTCTGCACAAAAAAAGCATAGAAACTGTAACAAACCTTTGTTTTAGTTGAGGAAAGCAAATAACCAGTGTAAAACATTCTGACCCAGCAAACACGACAAGATCATTGTTGTTAATCTGAGATGTGCAGTCCTCTGTCCACATATTGATGTTTGGCCTGGGTGAACAGAGGAAATTGCCACTGACTGACCTTTTTGTACTGTTTCAGTTTGTAATGCTCACAAACTGAAACTTCTAAATACATAAATGCAATTGATGCTAAGACTACTTTTTTAACATTTTTAAACACTTTTTACATAAAGAACAATAACCATTTAGGTAAATCTAGCATCTCTGGGCTTCAAGATAGCACATAAATAAGACTTTAAAACCTTTGAGGAGAGAAATGGCTGCAGTTTTGAAAGCATTTTTTTTATTCAATTTTATTTATGTAGTGCCAAATCACTACACCATGCAGATTTAATGCTTGCAGAACTTGGTTTGGCATTGCTTTGCTTATGTAAGCAAGGCCTTCTGTGCCAAATAGCTTGTCGAGATTACATGTTGCTCTAAAAAATACACATATTGTTCACGACATTGTTCACATGTCCACCATCCCATGGAAATATGGATGCTAGCTTTGGAAGTAAATAAGTGTATCTTGAGATCAGATTTTCAAAATGTATAAATAGTTATTGGTCAACAAACAGGACAGTTTGTGGCCATTCAGTACAAGTTTTATCCTTGTTCTTCACATACAAAGATTCGTTTTTCTGAACCATTTAATGATATTATGTACCATAGATGGTGAACTTGCTAGATTATTTGGTAATTGACTTTATTACTTTTGAGATGTTCCACCATGTGTTTATTAGCATTATACAACTTTTTCAGTGTTTTTGTCCCTTTCCTCTTTTGGAAAGTGATTAATTTGTGCTTTTATTTACATTTTACAAAGCTTTACAACAGGAGTTTCATTTCTGTTCATTTTACGGTTGTGTGCTCATCCTGTTTCTTCAAGTGAACCTCTTCTCTTAAGTCCTTCTTTCACTAAAAGTGTCATCTTCTAACCAAAAAGTTTGAATCAAATATTTTTGAAGTTAAAGTAATAATAAGATACTAATTGTAGCAATAATCACATAAAATTTTTAAACCTGCATAGAAATACAAGTCCAAAATCCTGTGAATGAAACAATAAAGAGTCTGGCAAAGTGTGACATTATGAGGGAGAAGTTTATTGAGGAGAGATACAGAGACACAGAAAATAACAACTGATGCATTTCCCCAATTTAACAGTACGCCCTCTGCTAAACAATGCAATTTCACTACAAATGGAACCGTTTTGCTGTTGGTCATCAGCAGATTTATCTTTTTTTAATTACCTTTACCTATCCCCTTCTACATTTAGCTTTGGCAATACAGAATTGTAGTTCATGCCGGTAAGGCAGTCTAAATTAGAGAGAAGAGAGCATTTAGTGAGTAGAGACACGAGAGAGAACGATTAAAGCGCTAGGATCCTTGATGAGGTCTTTATAGTCCACAGGTACAGTATCTCCTTATCATTACCTACTTTATATACATTAGAACACAGTTTAGGCCCACATACACAATAACAAACTGACAGAGAAGCACTTATACGTTGACAATACAACCTTGAGCGCTGATACAAACGCTGACCAGCCAGCTTAAGTGATTGCGAGTAAAACGGAAGAGACTAGAAGAGTTTGAAAATAGGAATGCTAGTCATGATATGCATGGAGTCGCATGTTTCGAACCTGAGAAAAAGGCTAAATGGAAACATGTAAGAACATGTCCTTTCTTTGTTAATGGATGAACGTGTGTTCTGCCACGTTAAAATAGGTATTCTTTCTCTTTTCATCTTACTGTCAGCGTCTGCATCGAAGCTTAAGGCTGCAAGGGTCACAATTTGACCATTGTTACAGCACAGGTGGACACCTATGACGAGGTTAAATGCAGTATTGAGGCTGTTTTCTATATAGAGAGAATACTGAAGGTGCTCCTCAGCCTTGCTATGTGTGTATGGCTGCTACTACAACACAGGAACAACTCACAAAAGTCCAACATTAAAATTGACCCCGGAGGGTTTTTTGATTCATCATTAACAGCTTTGACCATGAAAACAAATAGAAACTGAAACGCCAACAAACGTGCAGACAGACGGCACATGCTCACGTGTTCCCGCACGCTCATACACACGCACATACACATAGTTATCCGCACACGAAAATGCATATTCACACATATACTAAGTTACAACTTCTGTTCCTAAGAGAACATCAAGCTGATATTTAACACTTAGGAGGGGAGGGGGCATTATACAATAAATTAATACAATACTAAATCAAACTCAGCCTACATATAGGCAAATTAGTCCCTCCCCCATATACATACGCACAAAACACGCATACACGCACGCACTCTACACACATACACTCCCATGCAATAAAAGCAGCTTATGTGCCATGCTGCATTTTGGAATGAGTAGGGCAGTACGACTGCTGAGCGTATTTTCATGTAGAAGCAGCAAAGTGGGGGCGGTGGTTGACTTGGCAAAGGGTTTGTGGACGGGGGAGAGGTTCCAGGGACCGATACTGGGTAGTGGACCTGCTAAGCAAACCTGGACCACAGGCGAGCAACAAGCACACGTACACATACACCACAAGACAAGTACCATATTGTACATAAATATATGGACATCGTCACCTGGCAGGAAATCGAGGGTCAAAGGGGGTCAAAGACTTCAGTGTCAGCACTAAGAAGAGACCAGGACAGCAGAGCCATGGCTAAGAGTGGGGGGATGAAATGGATAAGGGAAGGAGATAAGGATATGGGGAATCCCTTTATATGATTATGGAGGGACTTGTCTTGTAGGAGATGGAGGGGGCCGCCGACTTAGGGAAAGTATAGGTAATTATGTGGTGTGAGGTGCCGTAGAGCAGGAATATAAGGTGATTTTAGAAAAGATGAGAAGAAAAAAGAAGAGAAGGGAAGACGAGATAAGAGAGTAACCTTTAGTGTTCACACAAATTTAAAAGATATTTCTTTACATCGTGAATAAGATATGTAAATAGGAAATTAACAAGAAAAAGTAAAAACTTTGTCTTCCACACTAAAGCCAAATAAATATAAAATCTGAGGAATGTAGAGATTATTTATTGAAGCAGTTTGTCATTTTGGGAAATACAAGTCTGAATTATACTGTGCTCATTTCTGTAAGCTAAATATTAAGCTACTACTAGCAGTAAGTTAGCTTAGCCTAGCATAAGCTAGCCTGGTTGGCTCAGTCAGAATATCTGGCATAAGTTTGGGGGTTTTTGTACAGATATGAGCAGATATAATGTGTTACATTATACTGGCTAACTGTGTAACCTTTACGTACTAGCTGTTTCCTGCCTTGTGCTGAGTTAGTGTAAATGGGGATGGTGGTAGCTTTGTGTCAAGTGTGTGAATGTTAGCTAGAAAGCCCTTTAGCATTGAAAAAAGGGCTTGTTGGAGTGGGTGTCAATGAATGAATGAGCCATATTGTATAAACTGCTTT